GGTACGACCTCGCACTTACACACGCTTATTCTACAAACGATTCGTGCGCTTGCGAGTTTTATAAATTTAAAACATGCACCTTCGAGTGGCCAACAAGTTTATTGTCTGTATATTTGTTATATGCCATGTTTGTATATGGTCTGTGTCTATGGCCCTTCGTGGGTTTGCTGCTACCCTTTCCATGCTTCTTGGGTTTGTGTCTATGGCCCTTCGCAACAATTGCTGCTACCTTTTATTATTGCATGAACATAACAAGTCTGGTCAACCCAGTCAGAATACAATTGTTTATATGTGGCGTCTTTTGTTTATATGGCGTCTTTGCTGCTACAATTGTTTTTGTCTTTTGGAAAATAGACGAATCTTCATCTTCAGTATTACCAGTTAATGAAGAAGATAATTTTGAACCTATTGTTCAAACCCAAGAGCAGCAACGAGAAGATGCTAATGCATGGAGGGCTAGCATAGCTTTAGATATGTGGAGAAACGCTATTTAGGATGACATGAAGCTACATCAAATTGGCTATTAAAAGATTGGAAAAATTGTATTGGCTTTTACTTTTCTTTATTAAAATTATCATTTCTTTGTTATCTTTTTCATTGACTCTTGTAACTTTGAATGTTTGCTTTTATTTATTGTTCCATTTCTTTGTTATCTTGAACCAATTGACTTTCGTGCATCATTGAAGTAGACCGCCATTTCTCATCATCCGACTAAGTTGGTTGGTTAGCATCATAAAAATAAAAAATTCATGTGGTCCTTTCAAATCTTTATAAATTCTTATGATATAAATCTTTTAAAATCCAAATGTAAAAAATCCTGATTATAAATTTTTTTACAAAAATCTTTTAAGTCATTACATTCCTAAATAGTCTTTTAAAATTCACTGGACTTATTTATCCATAAATAGTTTTTTAAAATCTCAATTGAATACAACCCTCTTAGATTCCTTGTTCTCACATAATCTTAACCACAAAATTTTCAGATTTTTCTTCCCGTCTCATTCAAAAGAAAAAATATCAGAGGCTTAAAATTATATTGAAATTAAAAGCGAAAGCTAAATCACCACTTCAAGTAAAGGAAGCAACACTGTCAGCAACCAGTCTCTCATCATTTACGCTTTGATCCAGTGTGAATTTAAATTTAACCAATGTCTCATACATCTGCTTGGTGAAAGTGTTGAGAATTGTTTGACACCAGCTCCACATAATAGTGTTCATTCCAAATTTAAAATTGACCAATGTCTCATGCATATGCTCTCTGTATCAAACATTTATGAACTCTTTTGGTAAGTAGCAGCATGAATAATGAACTAGCAAGCCTCACATTTTTCAGGGTAAATCAATTCAAGTCTGCTGGACAAGGCATTGATTATACATTATTGATTTTAAAAAAACATACGAAAGCCTTCATCTCATTTCTGCACACCTCTCAAACTCCCAAATTGATATTAGGCGGAAATCAATAATGTGGTTGTTGAAATAAGGAAACAATGTGTGTTACATGCTATGGAGCATATAGACAGTATGCTTTTATTCACATATTCTACTCAGCTCAAAGTTTGTTTCGAATCCGACACATTTCTGCCAGAGCATCACGAATGTCCAACCGTTCTCTTGGCAACTCTGCAGAACAAGCAACACCAACTTCTAAAATGGCAATCAAGCTTTCTTGAATATTGATGAAAGCCCTTGTACTATCTCCATTAAGATTATTGTCTGTGCTAATGATCCCTTCCCCTCTTTCTTGAACCAGAACAGGATCCACAATCTGTTCAACCTGATTAGGCAAAGCAGTCTTGACAAAATTATGAAGGTTTACACTTCCTTGAAATATCTCATCTGTTGGCCTTTTTCTCGTAAACAATTCCAACAGTAGGACGCCATAACTATACACATCACCTTGTGTCCAGACTTCATTTCCCATACCATACTCTGCATTTACACAATCTAAAACATCAGATAAATTCTAAGTGCTCAAAACACAATATTCATGTTCAAACAATTAAGTTAAACGAATCATGAGAGATTTGGGAAATCATTAATTAAAGAGTATTCACCTGGAGGAGTGTAACCAAATGTTCCTTTTACTCCAAGGGAACTTGACTGATTACCAGAACAGCTATCAGGAAGTTTCAGGAGGAATCTTACCAACCCAAAGTCGCCAACATGTCCAATCATATCATCGTTGAGAAGAACATTGCTTGGCTTGAGGTCGCAGTGAACTATTGGCGTTTCACATTGATGATGGAGATAATCCAATGCCATAGCGACATCGATAGCAATGTTCAACCTCTGAGAAAAAGTTAGACTCCTCGGGCTTTCATTTGTCTCACCAACTGTGGGAGCTTGATGCAACCA